CAGTTGCGGGAAATATTACGTTGGCCAAACTGGACGTAACATCGAGTGCCGCATCAAGGAACACGAAAGAGACGTCCGACTAAGGAAGATCCAACAATCTGCAGTCGCAGAGCATTGCCACAAAGGAGGACACAGCATAGAGTTCGAGAAAACCAAAGTGCTAGCAAGAAACGGACATTACTTCCAAAGATTGACGAGAGAGGCGATAGAGATTCATCGACATGGGAATAACATGAATAGAGAAGATGGCTGGGAACTCAGCCGCACATGGAAGATGTTGGTGAACTCAACGAAGCCTTCTCCACCCGGATTTGACAAAACAACTTAGTTGACAATTAGACACTAATTAGTTATTAATTACCTTTTCATGTATTTATTGTCAAATTTTAAACGAATTCGTCACTTCGAACTTGTTTCTGAAGAAGGTTGCAGCATTGTATCCGAAACGTCAAACATTTCTTTTTTTTCAAAAAACGCACGGCTTAACCCGAAAGATAGTGCTAGTTTTAGTTTAATTCCATAAATGTATTATTAAATGCTTTCAAAGTGCGTTCCTTGAGAAGGAAGTTAAAACGTCTGCTAGGGATAAAAATCTAAAACGGAAAACAAAAAAATTGAAGTCACGAAAGATAGTCGTTTAAACGAACTATACAAAATATTAAAAACAGAATACATCAAAAAAAGAAATCAAGCAATGATGAATGCTCATGGAAAATATACAAACCAGAATTTTGGCGGCCTGGAAATTTGTCAAACAAGAAAATGAAAAATCCAGAAAAACATCAGCTGAAAATCCTTATTATATTAAATCGGTGCTTAAAGCGGCCAAAATTCGATTTTAAAAAGTTGAACCTCGAAAAAAGTAACATCTGACATAATAAGTTTAATGTCATACAATGTCATACATCAATTCGTTTCGTTCCTGTACATCTGTTGAAATGTTATATTTTATCATAAAGCAATCCCGTTAATGTTTTATGAGTAGTTATATACAGGGTGAGTCGGGAGGAACGAACCAAACTTTAGGAGTATATTGTACGCTTGAAAATAATGTAAAAAAACTTATATGTTGTTATCTGATTTTCTTTTATTTTATTTTTTTTTATTGCATAACTACAATTAAACAAAATTTTATACATTAACATTAAATATTGGTCATCAGCGTTATTTTAGTAATTGTTCGAAAATATCGCCATTAACTTCTAAACATTTCCGGCTTCGTTTACTAAGAGCTCTTGTTGCTTTCCNGTAGAGGGTGTGAAATGGAAGACGAGACGGTAAGTCATATTGTTTGTGACTGTCCAAACCTCGTGTACTTAAGGGAATCTATTTTCGGAGTACCATGGCTCCAAATTTCGGATATAAGGAACATACCTTTCTGTTCTATATTAACGTTCATGAAAAGATTGGGCTGGTTTTCTGACCCTTGAATGAACAGTAAATTGTGGGGACGTATACAAATCTAAAATGGAAAACAAAAAAATTGAAGTCAGGAAAGATAGCCGTTTAAACGAACTATACAAAATATTAAAAACAGAATACATCAAAAAAAGAAATCAAGCAAAGATGAATGCTTATGGAAAATATACAAACCAGAAGTTTGGGAGAATTCATGGGAGTATGCAAATGGAACATTAAAACACGATCAGACTTAATACTGTCTATGGACCCTACAGAATTAAAACAAATAAAACATTGTTTAACATCGTATGAAGTATGGAAGAAACTAGAAAAATACATCAACCAAGCGGACATGTTAAAAAGGCATTTCTATTAAAAAAATTGACGTTATCAAAAATGACAGACGGGGAAAATATAAATGAATATTTAAATAATTTTTTTGATACTGTAGACAAACTAAAAGAAATGAATTTAGAAATTAACGAAACTCTACTTACAATAATCATGTTATATAGCCAGAAAAATTCGAAAATTTTCGTATTGCCATTAAAACCAGAGACGATCTACCAAAACCTGAGGTACTGCGAATTAAGATACTGGAAGAATATGAAACAAGAGAAGAAAGAGAAAATAATAGGTCAAGTCCGACTCGAAAACACATTATATGTACCAAGCTTACACACGAATTTATTATCTGTAGCTAAAATTACAGATCATGGATATGATGTTAAATTTACAAAGAATAGAGCATTTATAATTAATAAAAGAAACAGAAATGTACTAGGAATAGCAAATAGAAAAGGAGACTTATACTTTATTGAAAAAGAAGAAGACGCAAATTTAATTCAAGACTGGCATTATAAATTAGGACACTTAAATGAAAACTCTCTTCAAGAAGTCTTAAAGAAAACAAAAATCTTGAATTTTAACGAGAAAAACAAGCTGAAACCCTGTGAATGGTGTATCGTTGGAAAACATGTGCAAACAAAATTTCCTTCATCTACAAAAGTAAGAACGAATCAACCTTTACAAATTATTCACACCGATGTATGTGGTCCAATGAGAACAATCAAAAGGAGGTAAGAAGTATTAGATGATTACTAGGGCATGGAACTTTTGTAACAAAACGATACGATTTCCTCCCTCCACTCGCTCTCAGCAGAAAATTTCATACAAAAGTTGTTCTAAATTAAATTCTAAAACGATTTTCTCAATAACAAAATATATAAAAATATATATATAAAATTTTTTTTTACATTATGTTCTTAATTATTGATCAAATCAAAATTTTTTATTAACAAAATTTGTTTAGAATTACGTCAGGAACAGTGTTTGTTAATACAATTTTTTACTAACTTGAAATTTTAATTTCCCTCTGAATAGTATGATATCAAAATTAATTATCTCAACAATTATTGTTTTTATTAAAAAATGTTTTAAATAAAATTTGTTTCAATTTCGATTTTGAATCAATTATCTTAATAAAAA